CCTGGTGCCCAAACCCAGCACTCACTGCAGAGTCATGAATGGCACCGCAATCAGCGTCGAGATCTGGGAGAACCATTAGGGGAAAATTACAGGAATTAGGAGCTGCCAGGAGTGAGAAGTGTCCTGATTACATTCACGCGATGGAGCTGAGAGATGTCAGGATGACAGAGGACCTGTTCCATGAAAAAACCACTCAGTTGGCTTTTGCATGTTTCCAGATGTCTGCAGCGTAGACGGACATGCAGGCATTAAGTCTGAAAGGAGAATCTGGAGTGGATAGGAGAGAGGCAGCGTTGAAAGGCTTGAACCTGCGAGCTGGGCTGCAGAGGTTTTCAGAGTGGCTGCGGGACCGGAGCAGATTAGTTTCCTGTGCCTCATCTGTGAAATGGGCTTTTTTGTTGTGTTGGTGAGGCTCAGGCATCAGACACAGTGGTTGTTCTGGAGAGACAGCCCAGCACCCCTTTAACACTTTCTGGGCATCCCTTCTCTGACTTCTCCGCAGTTTTGCTCCCATCAGTGCATTATCCCAGCAGAGAGCTGGAAGGGCCTAGGGTTCACCTTATCCGTGCCCTCACCACAAAAGCTCAGCAACCCGGCCCTGGGCATGATTTACACTCAGAGCTCCCCTGTGAGGCTGAAGCCCCCCTCAGTGGAATTTCGCCTGAGATTTCACTTACCTTGCTCTCCACATCCCCTTGCAATTTTTATTTTTTATAGGACAAAGCTGCAATAAATCACTCGGACTTAGATCTTGTCTTAGGGCGTTTAGATGAGTTAATGCACATAAAGTGCTTAGAACAATGCCTGGCACATAGCGAGAGCTTAATAAATGTTAACAGCTACCCTACTTATGATTATTAAGTGCTTACTGTGTGCCAACTGCTCTATCACTGACACTCAGAGTGTCATTTAGTCTTGTTCAAATCTACCTTTCTTTTGTTAGGGAAGGAAAAACCAGAAAAATAAGCCAAGGTTGAGTTGGTAGGAGACATCCAAGGGCCCAGAGTAGGAATTCTACATACAAAAAGGAGCACAGAGGGGAGATCAGGTGAGGGAGGAGTGTCCCATCTCCAATAATGCTGAATACACAGCCTGCATCGCTATAGCGTGTGAGCAAACTGATAGGTGCGCTGGTAAATACTGATAAGAAGCTGTCAGGTAAAGGCTCCTTTCCCTTAGATGCATGAGGAAAGGAAGGCCTAAGAGGCGAAGCTTTTTGACAAGGGGCCACATGGATAGAAAGGGTTCTGACTTCTTCCACCCAGTGTCCCCTTTCTAGGCCTGAGCTCTTTGCTAGTTCTCAGCATGCTATCCATAAAGTCCAAACATAGCTAATGTCCCCAGATGGAAGTTCAAGGCCTTAGGAAATAAGCAAAAGGTTGGAGTTCATTCTCAGCAGCGGGCACCAGTTATTTCTATCTTCCAGGCCTTCACTGAGGCCCCTCTCTGTTATGGGCCAATGTCTCTTAACATTTATCCCAAGTTCTTGCCCCCACAGAGATAAGAATCCAAAGCAGAGACATAAATACAGTGTGCACATGAGAGCAGGATTTGTGTAAAAGATAGACAGTGAATGAATACACATGCATGCATGGCTGTGGGCCACCTCACATAGAGAGCTGTAAGGACAGATAATGGGAAGAGGTCAGAGAAGGATTCTTTTTTTTTTTTTTTTTTTACAGGCAGAGTGGACAGTGAGAGAGAGAGACAGAGAGAAAGGTCCTCCTTTGCCGTTGGTTCACCCTCCAATGGCCGCTGCGGCAGGCGCACCGTGCTGATGCGATGGCAGGAGCCAGGTACTTCCCCTGGTCTCCCATGGGGTGCAGGGCCCAAGTACTTGGGCCATCCTCCACTGTACTCCCGGGCCACAGCAGAGAGCTGGCCTGGAAGAGGGGCAACCAGGACAGAATCCAGAGCCCTGACCGGGACTAGAACCCGGTGTGCCGGCACCGCAAGGCGGAGGATTAGCCTAGTGAGCCATGGCGCCGGAGAGAAGGATCCTTGAGCATAGTCCAGAAGCCAGGAGCAAAAGAAAGGCCACTCCTCTGTTATCAGTCTCTTTTATGAGACAGAGGGTGATGCCCTAACCAAATGTACAAATAGGGTGGGGTTTTGCATGCGTAGGCTTTCTGGGAATTTCATGGCAGCTCCCCATGGAGTTTACTTCCACATAGCCATCATGGTGTCTGCTCCTTCTTGGTCCCAGTTGAGATACAGATGCATCATGGGAAAGTGGGTGTACTGGATTGATAGGAGTAGAGTTACAAAGCAGGGATACACAGAAATTATATATATAAAAAAAACCTCCCAGCTTTATTTGTTCCTACCTACCTCCTGGCCTAGTTCCCCTGTATCATTTCCAGAATTACGTTTTGCCATTAGTTAGAGCCTGACATTGGTTTTTACCTTTTTCTGCTTCCATGACACATCTTTCAGATAGCTCTTGAGGGGAGGGTTTATGTCTTAGCTGCTTTGACATTTCCCCAGCTCCCACCACCATGGTACTTAACGTTGGACCTTCTGCAGGGGGTTCCCTACAGTGCTTTAACTAATTTATCTTTCACTATAAGGGTTCTTGCTATAGAAACATAATGACACACACAAAAAAGCCAATGTGAATTGTCTGTGTTTAATTGCAATGTTATAAATTAAGAACCACATTTTAACACCCAGGTCCCTGGCTCTACTTCCTTAATGCCTTTGTCTTTAATATTATTTCAAACAGGGTAGTTTAATTTCTTCTTGTCTCCTTAACACATCTGAATAGCTGGTGCACCCAGACAACAAAAACAGTTTGCATCCCTCCAATTCCCCTGCCTCCTCCCCTACCAACCTTAGAGGCTATGTGAAAAGCCATTCCTACCTGGGGACAGGAAAGTGTAAGCATGATGTGTTAGAAAACACATTGAATGGGCAATCCATGTTTTCTGTGCTTTGTACTGCCTTTACCAACTGACTGATGTTGTACAAGTGTCCATGTATGGCTGTCTAAATTTAAAGTAATTAATATTTTTAAAAATAAAAATTCTGTTTCTCCATCTTGCTAGTCATATTTGGAGAGCTCACTTGCCTGTACCTGGTGGCAGCTATACTGCATGATACAGCTGTGGAATGTTCCCGTCTTTGCACATAGTTCTGTTAGCACCAATGAAGTGAACTCACAGGTATTTCAAAGTCCTAAGTCTCAAAGACTATTTCTGGGGTAAGAAAATGGATCATTGGTGCTAACAGAACTAGACCATATTCTGTTTGCTGTACTCCTGGGTTTCTCCCATCCACCCCTTCCCTCTTGCCAAGAGGACATAGCTTTACCATAGCCAACCATTCATCAAATAAGGAACTGTTCAGTTTCACCTACAGTGAAACAGATGAGATGAACCCCTCACTCCCAAGCTGAATGCTTCCAAGTATGCAGAATAAAATTATAAAGGATTGTTGATCTACAAAGAAGTCCTTTTACACACTGTTTCCTTGTTCAACAGAAAAATGATGATATAAAAGAAGATAGAATGAGGGACTAATGTTGTGGTGCATTAAACTGCAGTCTGCAATGTAGGCATCCTATAGGAGTGCCTGTTCAAATCCCGGCTGCTCCACTTCTCATCCAGCTCCCTGCTAGTGCACCTGGGAAAGCAGCAGAAAATAGGGCCCAGCACTCATGCGGGAGACCTGGACAGAATTCCTCCTGGCTTCAGTCTGGCCCAGTCATGGCCCTTGTAGCCATTTGGAGAGTGAACCAGCAGATGGAAAAATCAATCTCTCTCTCTTTCTCCCTCCATCTCCCTCTCTCTCTTTTTTCTGTAACTCTGCCTTTCAAATAAATAAATAAATCTTTTCTTAAAAAAAAGAGGATAGAATGAGCAAGCGACAAGGCAGAGATGAAAGGTAGGGGTACCCCTAGTTGTAGAACAAAATGGAAATAATAAATAATATCACCTTGCATTCAAACAATGCATTTATTCACTAAGGCTTCACAATGGCCTAAAATGGGGAATAAGAATGTTTCCTTCATCAGTGCACCAAATGTGTGGTTTCCAAAATGCACATATTTTCCGATTCTCTCCCAAATGGTAATTTGGGTTGTCTAGCCTTCTGGAGTATTGAAACAATTGCTTTTGATACTATTTTATTCCTGAACACAAGTTCTTTATAGTACTCCAAAGGTACACACAAGTACAAATGGCAAAAAATAGGTTAAGATCTGCTGCAAAATGGGTGGAACTGGAAACCCTTATGTTAAGTGAGATAAGCCAGACACAGAAAGAGAAATACCGGGCCAGCGTTGTGGCGCTGTAGGTTAATCCTCCGCTTGCGGCGCCAGCATCCCATATGGGCGCCGGTTCTAGTCCTGGTTGCTCTTCTTCCAGTCCAGCTTTCTGCTGTGGCCTGGGAAAGCAGTAGAAGATGGCCCAAGTCCTTGGGCCCCTGCACTCGTGTGGGAGACTGGAAGAAGCTCCTGGCTCCTGGCTTCAGATTGGAGCAGCTCCAGCCGTTGGGGCCATTTGGGGAGTGAACCAGCAGACAGAAGACCTTTCTCTCTGTCTCTCCTTCTCACTGTCTGTAACTCTGACTTTCAATAAATAAATAAAATCTTAAAAAAAAAAAAGAAAGAGAAATACTGCCTGATCTTTGACATACGTGAAAGTTAAAAAAAAAAAAGTTATCTGAATTGAAAGTAGTGATTACTAGAAGCGGGGGAGGATGGGGAGAGATTGGATGGAGGAAACAGGTTCTGGTGTTCCACAATATACTTTATAGGAATGTGTTATATACCATACAAATAACCAGAAAAGGGGAGTTGGTAGGCTCCAAACCCAGAGAAAAGATAAGGAAAGGGAGTGGCTATTTGCCTGGTATGATTGGTTTACACTGTGTTTGTGCATTGAAATATTGCGTTGTACCATATAAAAATGTTCAAGGCAGTACATTGAGCTCTATAGAGACAGTGCCGGGGCAAGTGAGAGCTAGACGGGCACTGGGCGACTCTGTGCCTCGCTGAGGAAAAATAACTAAACATGGGCAAAGGAGATCGTAAGAAGCCAAGAGGCAAAATGTCATCATATGCATTCTTTGTGCAAACTTGCCGGGAGGAGCATAAGAAGAGGCACCCAGATGCTTCCGTCAACTTCTCAGAGTTTTCTAAGAAGTGCTCAGAGAGGTGGAAGACCATGTCTGCTAAAGAGAAGGGAAAATTCGAAGACATGGCAAAGGCGGACAAGGCTCGTTATGAAAGAGAAATGAAAACCTATATCCCTCCTAAAGGGGAGACAAAAAAGAAGTTCAAGGATCCCAATGCGCCCAAGAGGCCTCCTTCGGCCTTTTTCTTGTTCTGTTCTGAGTATCGCCCCAAAATCAAAGGAGAGCATCCTGGCCTGTCCATTGGTGATGTTGCAAAGAAACTGGGAGAGATGTGGAATAACACTGCTGCCGATGACAAGCAGCCCTACGAGAGGAAGGCTGCCAAGCTGAAGGGAAAGTATGAGAAGGATACTGCTGCATACCGAGCTAAAGGAAAACTTGACGCAGTGAAAAAGGGAGTCGTCAAGGCTGAAAAGAGCAAGAAAAAGAAGGAAGAGGAGGAAGAGGAAGAAGACGAAGAGGATGAGGAGGAAGAGGAAGATGAGGAAGATGAAGATGAAGAAGAAAATGATGATGATAAGTTGGTTCTAGCGCAGTTTTTTTTTCTTGTCTATAAAGCATTTAACCCCCCTGTATACAACTCACTCCTTTTAAAGAAAAAAAAATGAAATGTAAGGCTGTGTAAGATTTGTTTTTAAACTGTACAGTGTCTTTTTTTGTATAGTTAACACACTACCGAATGTGTCTTTAGATAGCCCTGTCCTGGTGGTATTTTCAATAGCCACTAAACTTGCCTGGTACAGTATGGGGGTTGTAAATTGGCATGGAATTTAAAGCAGGTTCTTAGTTATATATGGGGACAGTAGTTTTTTCATCTTCAGTTGTCTCTGATGCAGCTTATACGAAATAATTGTTGTTCCGTTAACTGAATACCACTCTGTAATTGCAAAAAAAAAAAAAGTTGCAGCTGTTTTGTTGACATTCTGAATGCTTCTAAGTAAATACAATTTTTATTAAAAATATGTCCAAGTATTACATGTTAATATACTATTAAAAGTTCTTAAAATGTGTAGGTTGTGTTTGGAATTTTATTTTTCTATTTTATTCCTTCCCTGTTAAGTTGGAAGTGATAAACACATCCATACCATTTCACAGAGAAGGAATCAGAGCATTTACAAAGAACTTCATTATAACAGGCTTGTGAAGGTCTTGCTGTTGGATTTTTGTATTTGAACTGTATATTTCACTATTATAATTGAAGTTATTACCATTTGCCCTGAAATTGAGGTAAAAGCCACCATTCACAGTGCATTCACAGAGCACCTGTTGTCTTAACAAATAAAGAGAGTAAACTGGGTCTCCAGGCAGATGCTGATCATGGTGGACAGACTCTAATTTAACCCATGTTCATGCTTGTATAATCGTCTCCTCTGGAGTATAGGAGAAACCAGGTCCCTGCTCCTAACCACTGGAATATGACACAGCTGATGGCATGTCACTCCTTTGATTATGTTACAGTGAGCATTGCAGATCTCACTAGCAGGCACCAGAGGCTGATTGTTTATTGCTGTTATTAGAAGACTGCCAAGTAGTGAGGGAGCTATCTGGCAAGGAGCTATGATGGCCTCAGAGCTGAGAGCCACACCAGACTGACAGCCAACAAGGAAATGGAGACCTCAGTTCTACAAATGAATTCTGCCAACCTCTGGAGGGAGCTTGGAAGTGCGTCCTTTCCTAGCTGAGCCAGGCTGCAGCCCTGGCCAACACCTGGATTGCAGTGCGATGATAATCCTGAAAAACAGAACTCACCTAAGCCTTATCCCAGCTTCTGACCTATAGGAACTGTGAGATTATACAAATATGTTGTTCTGAGTCACTAAGTTTATAGTACTTTATTAAACAGCAATAGAACTCTAATCCATAAGTCAGTCAACAAATATCAAATTATCTTCTCTGGGCCTAACACTAAAGCAAAATGGCATGGTGGTTATAAATTTCCCTGAATCTCCCAAATGAACAGACAGAACAGTTAGGCCACCAAAACCAAACATCCACAGCAACATCTATAGTAAAACTGCATGGCAATGCATTTTACAAATGCCGAACACTAGTGCGTGAGGGCAAACAAACCAGAGCTTCAAGACCAATGTGGCACGAGAAAGACATAAGACGAAATGGAAGTGAGATAACTTGGTTTTGGACAGCTGTGAGAAAGGAAAACCCCAAATCAGCATTGGATACTCACCCAAGCATGGAAGGTCAATAGAAAATAAACGCTAGACTGGAATGTGTTCTGCAAGATCTGAGTTGAGTGCATATGCAAGCAGATGGAAAAACAATTTGGTATAATGACGCTTGAGTCATTCGGGCCCTGAAAACCCTGGACACTGACTAAGGGAATGGGTGTTGGGCCTAGCACATAAGATGCCAGTTGGGACACCCATATTCCGTATTGGAATGCCTGGGTTCAAGTCCTGGCTCGAGTTCTCAATTCCAGCTTCTTACTGATGCAGACCCTGGGACACAGCAGATGATGGCCCAAGTAGTTGTGTCCCTGTTATCCACATGGAAGACTTGGATTGAATTCCTGACCCCCACTTTTGGCCTGGCCCAGCCCAGCTTTTGTGGGCATGTGGGGAGTGAACCAGCAGGTGTGAGCTTCATCTGTCTCTCTGCTTCCCTAATAATAATGATGATGGTAACAGATATGATCACGCTAAATCTGACAAAGAGGAACTTTTGTTCTAGTAGGAGAAACTACTGGAAACCATCCAAACTGGACAGGACTGGGACAGTGGGGTGAGAAGAAAAACAAAGAGCAGATATGAGTAGGGAAGAAAGCAGTACAGATATAAGAAGGTCTTAGAGAGTTTGAGGGTATACATGCACACAGGCACACACAGAGTTTCTTACCCTTTCATGAAAATGGCAGCAGTGTTCCAGAGATTTGAAGCTATCCTGGCCATCTATCCCTTCTTAACACAAAGGAAAAGCTATTTCACTTAAAAAGCTAAGAACAGAAGAAAAATCAATGTAGGACTTATATAAAGCTATTAAAAGGAAAAAGAGAGTAAGAAGCAGAAGAATGTCCTGAAAGACAATGAAATCATGTTAAAAAGACAAACTTTCTGAAAAAGATGAAAGCTAATATTTCAAAATGAGCTAAAATGAAGTAAAAGCATAATAGAAACTATGAAAGATGAGCAAAAATTACAATGGGAAAAGTTCAGACACAAGGCGGAGAAGGAACAAGTGACACAATTATGAAAAATTTGGAAATTCAAGATCAAAGTCATTTCATAAAAGTAACACATGGATAAATACACACAATGATTAACACCTGAAAAGAAAAATAAATAAAACATGAGACAAAAATAAATAACAATAAGTGAGGAGACTTCTGCTTCTAGCTTTGATCGACTAACTTGAAGTATACTAACTGTCCCACAACATGCAATCATAAAACTGAACAAAATTTTCGGAGTAACTCTTTCCAGGTACTAGAGAACAGTTAAAGGATGAAGAGTTCTGAAAGAGAGGGAGCTCTTAAGGCAAACCCTAAAGTTGTCCCAGCAACATGTGGAAAGGATAACACTTGTGTGTCATGATCAAATAGAGGTTAGCCCAAAATGCAAGGTTGGGTTGATATCTAAACATCAATCACTGTGATTTACAAAATTAAAAGAATAAAGGAGAAAAATCACATAAACATTTTAGTAAATGCAGAAATGGTATTAGAAAAAAACCATTTATGATAAAAATCTCTCAGCAAACCAGAAATTGAAGTTAATTATCCAAATCTCATAATCAGTAGATTTAAAAAGACTACAGCTAACCACATACTTAATGATAAAAGAGTAAGTGTTGGGGCTGGCACTGTGGTGCAGTGGGTTAATGCCCTGGCCTGAAGTGCATCCCATGTGGATGCCGGTTCGAGACCTGGCTGCTCCACTTCCAATCCAGCTCACTGCTATGGCCTGGGAAAGCAGTAGAAGATTGTGCAAGTTCTTGGGCCCCTGCACCTGCATGGGAGACATGGAGGAAGCTCCTGGCTCCTGGCTTTGGATTGGCACAGTTCTGGCCATTGCGGCCAATTGGAGAGTGAACCAGCGGATGGAAGACCTCTCTCTCTCTCTCTCTCTCTCTCTCTACTTCTCTCTCTGTGTAACTCTTGACTTTCAAATAAATAAATAAATCTAAAAAAAAAAGAAGAGTAACTGATTTCCTTCCAAGATTGGAAAGGCAACGTGTTCTTATCATTTCTAGTGAACATAGAAAAGGGGTTTTAGTCAGAAAATAAGGCAGGAAATGAAAAAATTAAAGATGCAGATTTAGAAAAAAAGGAATACAAAGCTCTTCACAGACAAAATGATTATATCCACATAGACAATCCTAAGATATCTATAGAAATATTAGAATTAGTAAGTGAATTTATCAAGATTTTAGAATATAAGGTCAATTAAATTTCTATGTGCCAGCAATAATTACAAAATGAATTTAAAATATAATTTTAGCATCAAATCATAACTTATGAATATTAGAGGATAAACAAAATCTTCACATCAAAACTATTAAATATTGTTAAGAAGAAAGATGTTATGAAAGACATAAAAGAATTGAGAGATCTAAATATCATGCTAATGCATTGGAAGGTTCAACAGCATGAGGAAAATTCAGTGTTCCTGAACTGTTCTACTGGTTCCATGGGACCCCAACTGAAAAAAACAGCAGTTTTTAAAAAACATAATAGCAAGCTTATTGTAAACTTTTTGTATGGTCTTGGAGAAGGGGCCTAAATAGCTGAAATAATTTTGGGTGAAATTGAAGTTGGATTAAGTGGTGGTTTTATAAAGTGTTGACTTTGCTGAACTACATTTCCCAGAAATCCCTTCTTTGTATTCTTCCAGGCCTCAAGAGGTCTCTTGTACGTTAAATGTGGGGGGCAGAAGTGCCGCAGAAGGCACTGCAGAGCATTTTATAGCTCATGCACAATGCCATTTACGTGCTGACATGAATGATTGGCATCTGTAACTTCTCCTGGATCCTCCTTTGAGTCTGGGCCAGGTGTGTGTTTAACTTCATGATGAACTCCAGCATGTCTTATAGACAAACACTTCATCAAGATTGGAGGCAGTGGCTTCAGACACAGGGTCCAGTTCAGACTCTTGGGTTCCAGCTTGGTCTGTCTGCTCCTGAATGTCAGCCCTACAGGCTATTTGACACTGAGACAATAGTCCCTCAGATACTGTTTAACCAGTCATTACAACCACATACGATCCAATCCCTGTATCAAATCTCTTATTTATTACACATTTGCTTCAAACTGTTCAGCTTCTGTGGTGGGCCTGATACAAAGAATCTTACACCACATGATTTCAAGACTTACTGCAGACACTCAGTTGTCAAGTATAAAGACATGCAAAAACAAAGATCAATGAAACCAGGAGCCCACATAAAGACCCACACAGTTTTGGTCAATTGATTTTTAGCGAAGAGATTAACATAATTCAACTAGGAACAGATAAGCTTTTTTAATAAATGGTGATAGAAGAACTGGATATTTATAAAGACAAAAAAGATCACTTTCCCATCCCTGAATCATACCATATATACAAACATTTCAAATGAATCATACATCAAAGCATACACCATACAATTTCTGAAAGAAAACAGGATAAAGTTGAATTTGAGGTTGGGAAAGCTTTTTTTTTTAATATAAGACAGGACACAAAAAAGCATAGTACAAAAAAATGGGGGGGGCTAGCATTTTGGTGGGGTGGGCTAAGCCACCACTTGCAGCACTGGCATCCCTTATCTGAGTGTCTGAGTGCTGGCTGCTCTGCTTCAACCCAGCTTCCTGGTAGTGCACCTGGGAGGGCATCAGAAAATGATCAGAGCCTGCGCTGTGGTGCAGCAGGTAAAGCTGTTACTTGTGAGACTGGCATCTGATATGGGCACTGGTTCCAGTCCTGGCTGTTCCACTTCTGATCCAGCTCCCCGCTAATGTCCCTGGGAA